TATATATATATATATATATATATATATATATATATATATATATGTATATGTATATTAAGCAACATCATCATAGGAATTTATTATTTTGTTATAGGCATCAGTTTTCGTCATCATCATTAAGTTTAAGTACAGTACTTGCGTTATTACCATACGATTACGGAGGAACACATTTAAATAATACTACTATATCACTTATGCATACTGGAGGATGCAACTTCCAACAAGACACACCAAAAACTACATAAACATATATACAGCTGTTACAACTCTCTAATTATAATCACGTCGAAGTCATGCAATGTAAAATAGAAATATCAAGAACTATTTATCACTGTGGGATGCACTCTCACGTCTCTATTGTGCACAATGGTCAAGCTAGCTATTTACACGACACATCGCGCGAACAATGTTTACACATACATCGTGAAAGAATATTGCGATTAGAAGTAGACGAAATTATTGACCAACTAAAACCAAACAGTACAATTTATAGAAGCGTAACACTGGCAGGAAAAGCAGGAGTAGACGGTACTTGCAAAGGTGCCATGTATTCTGATTATGATGGCACTTGGGAAGATGTAGTAGTCCAGACACAAGTGACAATATCATTGCGAATAGTCTATGTACCAGTACATCTAGAATTAGGAAAAGTTATATTAAAACCAGAAACTACATGTCCCCTTTCAGAAGGAACCTACTTAGACTCGGACGATGGACATACCTTTTGGCAACCTCTTCCAAATTCAGCATGCAAATTTAATCATTATGATGTTTTATACGAAAGAAATGCCATAAAAATGCAAGGCAACACAGGTTTACAAGACACTACAATTTACACATTGACAACACAAAACATTACATTTGCCCTAACTTTAACAAGACCACATGTTATTTGTACCACATGTTATTTGTGGATATACCCTAATGGGAACTGAGCATCCAAAGTTGTTTAGTTTTTAAGCAAAGCAAGGAAATACATTCAAAACAAAAACTGAAATTCCTATTGATAATTTAGATATTTTTACATATATAAACTCCAAATTTGTATATGTCGAACGACATATTAGGACCCAGATGAAGGCATTGTATTATGATATAATACAACAAAAGTGCGAGCTAGAAAAACAAGTATTACAAAATACCTTATCTCTCGCAACATTATTACCAGACGAATTTGCTTTCCGTCTGATGAAAGCACCTGGGTATATGGCTGTTGCCGCTGGCGAGGTTATACATGTTGTAAAGTGTATACCGCTCGAAGTCGTACTACGATGAACAAATTCATACTTCACCGACTTACCAGTAATGCTCAGTAATAAATCTTATTTCATACGCCTAAATCACGAATTCTTACACAATACAACACTGAAAGAAACTGTAATCCTTTTTTTACCTATACAATTAAACATCGAGTATTTCAAGAAAATGTAAGAAAATGAAGTACTAAAAAGTTAATATAAAATTCTGAAAAAATTCTCAGAGCTCTATGAGAACAAAATATATAATTTTTATCTCTTGATATTTTTTAGTAAAGTTGATAGAATTCAAGTAAAAAATTATTGAAACCAATAATCTTGTAGATATTTACGTAAATATCTTAGAAAATAGAGGTCGTATAAAAATTTTTTTCAAGCAAAAGTTATTTGCGTTTTTACGTTGAATAAAATGCCGTAATAAAAATATGTTTCTATTTAAAAAAGCAAAGTTAACCTTGTTCTGACCTTGGCGACGCCATCCTATGTCAAATAACTACTATCGTTGAATGCGTTTTTTTAAGCCTTATAACTTTTGTCTGAAACATTTTTCTCTAAAATGCTCCTCCGCCGAGTTATCTTGCCGTTCCGGAACTTTTGCTATACCTTGTATATATTTACACGACGAATTTAGTTGAACACAGGCACAATTCCTCATTCGACTATAATGGCTGAACGGATGAGATTCTAATAGATGCGCAACTAAGTTTCCGGGTTTCACACATGAATGGCGTTAACGACATATGTAGTCGACATACATGGCTAAAGTTGTGTTTTTTTTTATAGCTTGGACATCTGTCAACGATAACCAGTCATAATACCAACACATATCGCAACGCAAAAATATTTCTAACAATGAAGATGTCGAGTTTTGTGTCAAATAAACAGCATTTGCGGGAAGCTTTGCTTTTCTGCTTTAACCTGAAAAAAAATGCAGCTGAAGCACGTCGTTTGCTTGAGGAGGCCTGCGGCGAACATGCACTATCGAAAACTATCTGGGAAAATTGGTTTAAACGCTTTCGAAGTGGCGATTTCGACACTAAGGGCAAGAAGCGCTCCGGAAAACCAAAAACAATTGAGAACGCCGATCTGCAAGCGTTATTGGATGAAGATGATACGCAAACACAAGATCAACTTGCGAAGGCATTAAACATGACTCGCCAAGATATTTCCAAACGTTTACATGCCATGGGAAAAATTCAAAAGGAAGGAAAATGGGTGCCGCATGAGTTGACTGAGAGACAGATGGAAAATCGAAGAGCCACTTCCGAAATTTTGCTTTTGCGGCATGAAAGAAAGAGTTTCCTGCATCGAATTGTTACTAGCGATGAGAAGTGGATGTATTTCGAGAATCCCAAACGCAAAAAATCGTAGCTTTCACCTGGCGAAGCATCAGCATCGACGGCACGGCCAAATCGCTTCGGAAAGAAGACAATGCTCTGCGTTTGGTGGGACCAAAAAGGAATTGTGTACTATAAGCTGCTGAAACCGGGCGAAACTGTCAATAGGCATCGCTATCGACAACAACTGATCAATTTAAACCATGCATTGCTCGAAAAACAGCCAGAATTGGACACGAGACACGAACGAGTGATATTGCAGCACGACAACGCTCCGTGCAATCGCACTTCCATCGTCCAGGACACCATCAAAACGCTGAAATGGGATTTGCTACCCGCCGTATTCACCAGACCTGGCCCCTTCCGATTATCACTTGTTCTGATCGATGGCGCATGGCTTGGCTGGGCTACACTTGGCCAATTTCGAAGAAGTGCAAAATTGGTTGGATGAATGGTTTCGGTCCAAAGACGCATCGTTTTAACGTCGCGGTATTCATGTATTGCCAGAGAGATGGTAAAAATGTGTAGCTAGCGAGGGACGATACTTTGAATAAACCATTTTTTGTATTTCTCTTGAAATTTTCTATGTTTCATTGATCAAAAAAACCCGGAAACTTAGTTGCGCATGTAGTAAATGGGCTTAATTTATTCCTTGGGTTTACATTACTTGATAAAACTGTCTTTACTTTTACTCTACATGCTCTAAAAGCTGAGATATTTTGACTCAAAATCCGAAATCGTAAATTTATGCTTGAGAAACGTCGTCTCTTCATTACGAACACCTTAGTTGACTGTATTCCTCCGCTAGAGGCTTTACGGTTGAAATTAGCCTGGCTAGCTGATATGAAAGAAAGAGAGAACGAGAGAGAGAGAGAGAGAGAGAGAGAGAGAGAGAGAGAGAAATAGAATAAAATAAGAAGTAGAGAAAGAGGGGGAGAGGGGAAGAGAGAGAGAGAAAGAGAGAGAGAGAGAGAGAGAGGGAGAGAGAGAGAGAGAGAGAGATCCTTACTGTCAAAGGAGCACGCTATTAACGCTACCGCGTTCTTCTATCTTTATTGTTCCTTAGATATACAACAAAGATAGGATGACACGGTAGCGCTGGGCAGCGATCATGAATCTTTTCCCCTAGTGTGAACTCGTGAAAAGTGAAAATTTTGTAATGAACTCGTGAAAAATGAAAACCCTCACTAAACTCGTGAAAAATGAAAGATTTAACGTGAATTTGTAAGTAAAACAAATATTACAATATACTCAAGACAACACCAATTTGCAAGGGATATCTTTGGAATTTTTTCAGCATATTTTTAAGACATAGTGATGTCTTTAGAACGTTCCTTGGAAGTCTGCTTGTCTGGGATTACTTTAGAATAAATTATGAAAAGATAAAATATTCTATTCATATTAAAATTATAAGTCTGCAGAAAATATATATTTCATATAAAATAGTACATACATTGTGACCGTTCTTCGTTAGTTAGACAGGAGAGTACGGCCAAAACTTCGTCTCCGCCGTTGCGGCGACGGCCGAGCTTGCCGGCAGCTCTCCAGAAAAAAAGATATCTGACTCGATAGAGTGGCGGGGTTCGTGTGTCGACACGCGACCTTCCTTCGCGCGACACGGGAGGAACAGGCGACAGAGTCGGAGGAATCACCAATGAACACACATGCCGCTTAACATTACGCTGTATTTAACATAAAAACAACAAAAGAAAGGTTCTACAAAAGACGCGGTGCGGGCTCCGAGTC